GCACAGGGCAACACAACACAGAAAGATGGAATTTCAAGGGCATGGAAGGTGGAGGGTAGAGGGTGTGGGGTATCAGGAAAGGGAAGTCCTAGGATTGGACTGCAGGGCTCTGGTGGGGATCTGGCTGTAGGAGGATCACAGCAGTCAGTAGTAAGTAAGTGGACTCTGAAGTAGATGTGGGGGCAAGTTGAGAAAAATTTAGCATCATGTTGCAGAGATACATAGACAGCTTAGGGATAAGAATTAGTAATCACATTTGAGTAGGAACTAGTTAGGAAGTCAGAAAAGAGCATCACTATGCAAGTGGTAGAACTGTAAGGCTGAATGTGAAGGAGGAAGGAAAGATGGATGGAGGGAGAAGGAGGCGATAAAGAGAAGGAGCAAAGGCGATTATTTTTAGAGTGTAAAATGAGCTGGTTTCTGGGTTTCTGCGTTAGGCAGTTTCACATGCCTTCTTCCATTAAAGACAGGGAAAGAGATAGTGAAGGTACTGGGGGGCAGAAAGGACAGGGAGGGGCTCTGCAGGGATTCTCCTTGGATGCTCAAGTGTGGGGCTTGTGGCTGTCGTGTGTATGTTTCTGACTGTAGCGCAGACTCCGTGTTGCTCCACTGTCTCTGGTAGATGACTGCAGTTCTTTCCCAGCTTTTTGTTTTACCCAAATAAGCAGATTCTACAAAACTGATAACGTGACTGTACCTATAATGAAATTTCAAAGGCTGCTTATAAATTACTCAACAAAGCAAAAGTAAATAAATTATATGTATCCCAAGTAAAATATGTCATAAATGCTTCAAATGACTCTGTGCCTCAATTTTATCATTTGTAAAGAGAATAATGGCTGTTTTAATATAAATATATTATTAGGGAAAACAATAGTACTTACATAGTAGGATTGTTACAGGTGCAAGTAGGTTAATATTTGTAAAGTGCCTAGAATGGTGTGTGGCACATAGTACTAGATAGATGTTTGTTGAATAAATAAAAATAAAATAGCAGTAGACTCATGGGTTGTCAGCATTGAAAGAGATTATGTGGCCCATGAGCCAAACCATTTCTTTTAAGAGATGCAAATGGGTTCTAAAGAAAGGAAATTATTCACAGTTGATTAAGTTGGTGGCATAGGGAGTAGACAAATTCTCCTGATTTCCCAGTCGAGTGTTCTTTTTAACTAAGAAAAACATGATTGTCAGCAATATACTACAGATTTGACACATTCTAACTTTAATATTTAATTGCATTATTAGCTCCTAAAGGGGTATATCTCATCCATCTCTTTATTCACAGTGATAATCTGAATGCCCTGTATACAGTGGTGTTCCATAAATGTTCATTTAGTAATTTGATGAATTAATTCACAATCAAAGAACTAAAATCCAATCAAGCCTTAGAATTGATAAAGTAGAAATATTTTGTGTGAAGGAGGAACTTTTTAGATAAGGCAATTTTTTCAAGTCCCTTTCAAATCTTGCATGTAAAGTCCATAGCTCAGTGTCTAATACATAGTAACTCTCAATGAATATTAGCTTTTATTTTTAGGCAGTTGCCTATTGGGCCATTATACAGTGGTGTAACTTGGCCACTAGTACAGGCGCATTGCCAGGTCTCATTCCCCTTCTTTTATCCCACGTTGGCAGATAGCAGTTTAGGGAAGTATTAAGTTGCTGCCTAAATGTTGGTCACTGTTCTATTTAATAGTAATTGATTATTTCAATATTAACTAAAAGTCATCAATTCTGCAGGATTTCCTCAATCCGTATAGTGCCCTGCCCCTCTTTAAAGTTTTAAGATGTTTGTTTCCTGTGAGCACTATTTTTATTTAATTGGATCCTGTTGGGGATTTTCATGTACTTTTCCTGTTTATTTTTCTTCCTGTTTCTCAAAATAGGAATTAAATTATAAAGATGAACAATTGCAAGCACTTTGCAATGACCTTTATGAAATTATTATTAAATCTTTAAAGGCTTCCTTCCTCGCTAATCTCTTACCACACAACATTTAGGAGTCAAATAAGAAGTAACTGAAAGCGGCTCTGAAGCTTGGGGACTGCCACAAAAACTTGCTCTTTCTTGGTCTGGATCCCTTGCCCCCATTATGTCCTTCACAGGAAGCACTTTTATCTTGATTCTGCCATTGACCCTTTGCCATGTATCTCCTCCTGCCTCCTGGGTGGCAAACGATTCCACTTTCTAGCTGTGTGATCTTACCCTCTTGAGTTTCTTACCCTCTCTGAGTCTCAGTGGCCTGTTGTGCACTCAGAAAGTGTTCTGTGGTGAAAAAATTAGGAGACATGGGGACTTGAAGGAAAAATGAAAGGCAGAGATCAGAGAAGTTGTCAACACTGGAGGTTACACCAGGAGAATACTGATGATGGCTAATCACGTAGACCTGGAATGGAAACTGGCTACTACTCACTGCATCTCAGGTGAATGACTAACTTATGGCTGGCTATTCTTAGCCATAACGCTTGATTTCAATATCTCATATGTGATTCCTCCCACATTCTGACCTCTGAGTTTCTTAATCTCCATTATTCTAATGTCTGTCCCCCACTTCCACTGCTGCCTGAATCACTCTGTCATCATATTTTGGTCATTACCAATAGCTGTAATCTCACTGTCATCTCCAGTTCAAGTATTTCACTCTCTAATTCAATCTTGTAGATTTGCAGACCACTCTTCCTTACACCTCATCTCTAACAATTTCTCAACCCCACTGAGATCCACGATCATTGGGACTTCTACATTTTTGCTCCTTTTTTTTTGTACCCGTTCGTGTCCTCTTCTCTCACCTCACTCAGCTCAGTTTCTATTATAGTCCATTATTATAATCACCCCTTTGCCAATACTAATTCTATTCCCTTCTCTTCCTTGATCAAATTTTCTGTCAAGACCCCACATCTGGTTAAATCTAATACTACACCAACTCTGTGATGGCACACATGCAACTAAATGTACCTGGAAAATGACTAATCATGCTGTCTGGTCTCACTTTAGATTTATGATCACAAAACTTCAACAGGGCCTATAGTGCAGCCTGGAAATACTGTTACATTTCCCCAGTTGATCTAATCTCCCATTTGCTTATGTTTCATACTCTCTTCTATTTCCTCAAACCTCTCTCTTCTTCCATTCTCATGGCCTTAATTTTACTTCTCTTGGAAAATATAAATGAACTTGGGAAAGAACCTGTATGTGTTTCTACTACCACGTCTAGCACTTCACCTGCTTTGGCTTATATGCTCCTCTTTCCTTTGGTTACCAAGGCTGAGCCTTCTCTTTTCTTATCTAACACCGATCTTCAGCCTAGTTCCTAAATCCCATCATTTCTTACCTGTCCAGGGACATCTGTCCAGTATTTCCCCTGCTGCTGTCTTGTACCATCAGTTTCTCTCTCCTGGATCATTCACATAAGCATACACACATGCTTCAATACTCTCATCTTAAAATCAAATATCTCCTGACCTCCACCCACCATCCCATTGCTCTGTTACAGCAAAATTCTCCAAAGAGTTTACTATACTATAGGTGTCTCTGATTTCTCTCTCGTCATTTTCTCCTTTGCACTTACTATGCTTGGGTTTTGTTCCCACCACCTCATTAGAAACAAAACCAAACCCCCAAGCCCCCAAAACTTAGAAAGGTACCAGTGACTTACATGTTGTTAAATCCAGTAGTCTATCTGGATTGAAGTATCAAGGACTATTGACCCACTTAATGATTCCCTCCCTCTTAAATATCTCTTTCACTTGGCTGCTAGAATACCACTTTCTCCTGCTTCTCTTTCTGCCTCCCTGGACATTGCTGTTTAATACCTTTTGCAGCTTCTCCTCATCTCCCCAATCTCTAGACAATGGACTTCCCTAGGTGTTGCTCCTTTGCCCTCTTTTTTCTATTGATACTCACTTCCAAGGTGATCTCATTCAGTTTTAAGGATTTAATTATCATCTATGTACTAACAGTTCCAAAATACACATATCCAGCTTGGTTTCTCACCTGAACTCAATCTTCTTATAGCCAACCACCCATTCAATGTCCATTTAGATGTCTAAAAAGCATCTCAAACTTAACATGCTCCAATTGGACTCCTAGCTCCCTTCATTGTGCTGGCCTGCTTCTCCTACAGTCTTCTCCATAATAGCACATGGCAACCCTATCTTTCTAGTTGCTCAGGGCGAAATTCATTATTGACTCTCTTCTTTCTCTCATTTTTCATATCCAATCAATTAACATAATCGTGTCAATTCTACCTTCAAAATAAATCCCAAGTTTGACCACTTTCTCACTACCACTCTGTTTTAAACTACCACGGCGTCTTGTTTAAATGATCATAATAGCCTCCTAACTGGTCTCCCATCTTTACACACCTATAGCCTGCTCTGAACACAATGCACATATGTGCACAATTATGTTACTTCTCTTCTTAAAACCTTTGGAGCAAACTCTTGGAGCAAACACCAAAGTCCTTACAGTGGTTCACATAGCCCAGGACCTACAGGATCTGGCTCCTCTCACCTCTCAGATATTGTCTCCTGAATTCTTCCTTTCTCCACTGAAGCCACTTCAACCTCTTTGCTACACCTTGAACACACAAGGCACATTCCAGCCTACGGGCCTTTGCGCTTGCTATTTTTCTCCTTGGAATGCTTTTACTCCACAGCCTCATGGCTCACTCCCTCACTGCCTTTAGATTTCAACTCAAATATCCTCTTCTCAATGAAGCCTCCCCTGTCCACACTATATAGAATGATGCAAGCGTTCACATGGACCTACTCCCCACCCTCACTCTTAACCCTACTTTATTTTTTCCCCTGGCACTTAACACTATCACACACACAAAATATTTCCTTATTTTTCTTTTCAAAATATCTTCTGTGTTTCTTTTGCTATATCTGTATTATCTAAAATAGGGCGTAAAATGCAGCAAAATGAAATGAATATCTGATGCATAAATGAGTGAAGGGGACTAATGTATTAAGTTAATTCATATGTGAGTAATGGAATCAATGTTTTGTCTGAGCATTTCCAAGCTTTTCATAAAACAGCCCTCCTCAGCCATAGTTGCTCTAGTTGTTCTGGAAGCAGCCATGCACTATGTAATTCTGACTCCCGGCTATAGTCGATGGGCCAGGCCTGGGCACCCTCGGCCAATCGTTTCTTTCTAGGGATTTTGTTACTGGGACTACAGCCATTTATTGACACTCTAACATATCTTTCTACAGCTGCTGCAGTAGAAACTATTCCACAGTTGTCTTGTTTTCAGCCAGGAGGACCAGATGCAGAGGTATCTATCAAAAAGGGAGGATAAAATGATGATCAGAGAAAAGCTGAGGTGACAGATGGCATGAGAAGCTCCACAGCGCTCTAGTCCCCATTACCAGTTGTTTCTCAGATCCAAACAGATCCCCATACCTCCCGCTGCATTAAGGAGATACCAGCGTGATGTCTGCCATTAGAGTAGGTGGTTAATGCAATACTAATTGAATTGGAACCTGGAAGGGATCAGATCTAATCTCTTTAAGCTCAAAACTTCCACAATAAATCAAACCAAGCTAAGTTGCAAAAATAAATGTTTTATGAACATTTGGCATTTCATCTCATTTGACAAAGAAGGGATTCTGTTCTTTGTCTTGGAAGGCACTGTGATGTAGTGGAAAGACAATTGGCCAAGACAGGAAACCCGAGTTGTGGTCCAGCTATTCAGCTCATTGCCATCCCTCTTGAAACCCCAGTTTTCCCATTTGTGAAATGAAAGGACTGGGTTAGGTGGCCTGCAGCCTATTTTCCAGGTCCCGATTTTAGAAGCTGGAGTCCTTTAAGGTATAGGGTACTATCGGGAGGCATGTTCTTTTCCTACTGCTGTCATCCAGGTCTTTTAAACATTTGTCTTTTTTGTGGCTGTTACATAACTCCTATTCACCTGTGAAAGGATTTTCCACCTCATAAGTCTTGGTTGGAAATACGACTTGTCTTCCACTATATACATTGAAAAACCCAAATATTCACTTTCACATTTCTCTGGTGCCTGGAACTAGGCTATATGACAGGACCTAGTGCCATCAGATCCAGTCACTAAGACTGGATTGGGAACTTGTGACTCAAAAAGCAGGGGAAGCCACAAACCCATTCCAGTGGCAGGTGTTGGTGGCAGCTCCTTAAGCCCGTAGTGTTACCAGTTGTGACCTCCTGTGTCAAGTGGGGACCTCCTGGTGCCAGCTTGACATCCAGTGTTCGTGGAGAGAGCGTGGAGTCCTCAAGGCACCAGAGAACCTGATGGCCATGACCCTGGCTGGCCCCAGCCCCCCACTTTCCTTCCTGCTCCTTCAGTCTCCTTACAATTCTGTGAGCCACTCACTATCCTTTCAATGAACTCCTTTTTCACTTAAATCTGTCAGTTTCTACAAACAAGAACCCTGATTGAAAACCCAGATTAGGGGAGAACAGGAGAATCGTAAAACCAGTCCCTCACTAGAGTCGATGTGGAGATTAAACAAATATGGTCAAAGGCTTCCGAACACAGCTCTGTCACTTTCACAGGAAGAATTACGGGAGTTTCATAGGAACAACAGAACCTGAGAGGGCCTCAGAGGGCATTTAACCCAAGTTTCTCATTTTTGCAGACGGAACATCCATTATAAGGGGGAAATAACTTGTGGAGCATCACACAGGTGGGTCCAGAGGTGGGACTGGCACTCATATCTCCCTGACACCATTTTCAGGATTTTCCTTGCTGTCCAAACTGCCTCTAGTTGGTTTGCACATTAGTTTGTTCATATTTTATTTTTCAGTTTGCATCTTTTATTTGCACTTAATGAATCCAGGCTTCTTACTTACCTCTTACCCCAATGCCAATGTTCCTATCCCTAAATGTGGCATTGGCCCAGGTGAGGCATTTGGCCTTCAGGTTTCAAATGAAAGCCAGTTTCCTCCGAGAGGCATCAAAGATTCAAGAAGGGTTGATGAGGTCCCATATTCCCAGCAACACTGAGGGTTTCTCCTTCCCCAGGGTTCTGTGAGCTTCACCCCAGAACTCTCAATTTTTAAATGGGAGAAGATCTGCAAAGTGTGAGCCCTCTGAGGAAAAACACAAAGCCATTGGAATTCTTTAAATATGCCTAGAGTCATGCTCATTGGCTTCTCCCTCCGAAATGCCAACCCTGCCTATCCTTTGACTTTTGAGGGAAAGGGAGAGAACACCCCTTAATAAAAGACAGCAAGAGAAAGGACTGTCTGTGAAGCCAACGGGGGAGGGACATCAGTGTGAGGCCCAGGCATCTTCAGGCAGGCAAGGTATGGTTTTAGGCTCTGCTCCTACTCCAGGGAAGCCTTTTCTGATCCTTCCAGCCTCATTTAAACTGCGTTCGTTACCCAGTCAGCATTTAACTCCGAGCTGCCTCACATTGTTTTTTAGTAATACAAATATTAATAGTTTTATATTTTGGAACACATAGTGTTTCAGAGCCATTTTTCTCTGTCTTAAAAGAGTCCTGTGGAGTAGGCAGAGTAGGAATTATCCTCCATTCTATTTATTGCTTCAACAGATTTTGAGTGCTTATTGTCAAATACTCTTAAAAAACTGATAAGGTTCTTGCCCTCAAAAAATTCACATGCTGTTAAAGTGGTAAGTTCTATGTTTTGTATCTCTTACCACAATTAGAAAACATTTGATTCAATTTTCGTATGCCCTAAAAATTTATATGCAAAACAAACAGTAAACAAGTAAACAAATAAAAAATGATAATAATTACAGATTGTGATTGTCATGAAAGAAAGAATCAGGGTACATGATAGACAGTGACTGGGGTGTAATGAAGTGAGGAATAACTTTACCTACAAGGGTCCAGGAAGGCTTCTTTGAGGAGGTGATCTTAAAGGGAAGAGGTGTCAGTTAAGTGAAGGGTCAAGTGCTCCAGGCAGAGAGAGCTGCACATTCAAGGGCACAGAGGTAAGAAAGAGCTTGGCACATTGGAGGAACAAGGGGCTAGTTGGCTGGAGCACAGCAAGCGGGGAAACTGAGGCACAAAGAGGTCAGAGGACGAACCCAGGTTCACATGCCTACATGGTCTTTCCAATTAGTCCATTGTTTGCAGGGTAACATTGGCCTTGTTGTCTGGCTAGATATCCCGTGGCTTACTTTCCCTTTCCTTCCCTACAGTAGTGACGAGTGTAGTCTCTGACTAACACAGCCCAGTCGTTTGTTTGATTAATTGGGGATATGAATTCAGAACTCATTGATCTTAAGGTGACTTCAGGGAAGTTAAATGATTTTTATGAACCCCTTTGTTCCCAGTCCTCAAAACCAGCTAATAAATTCAGTATCCATCTACTTTCCAGGATCACAAATTAACCAGGCAACTTCTTAATCTTGTACAGGCTTTTTGGCTGCCCTGGGTGGGACTGGTTCAGCAGCTTCAGATTTTATTCTTAGGTTAGAGTTGTCAACACATGCATATGGGCAATTGGAATGGTACATTAGAATTTATTTCACGCCCTACCAAGAAAATTCCTGAGATATATTTTCCTATTATTACCGTTTTTAAACTGGGAGTACCATTCAGGAATTATATTTTCCTAGCAATGAGTAGCATGGACCTAAATGTTGCAGATCCAAATAGGTGGACTGAGGACAACAAAAATGAGTTGCTGAACTACGAAAGCAAAATTGAAATCTGTGAGTTCTACTGTTAGCATTTGCCTATGACAACATTTCGGATATTCGGTTCATCCATCCCATACATTTTCAACTTTTCCAGTATGTATGTATGTACATATATATTTTAATGCATATTATAATACAACAACATACATATTATAATACAACAACAGCTTAATTGAAGTAAAAATGACATACAATAAGCTGCACCGATTTAAAGTAGATAATTTGGTAAATTTGGAATATGTATAAACCTGTAAATCTATCACCACAGAGAATATGAGCATTCATCACATCTCAAAGGTTCTTAGGCCCCTTTGGAATCCGCCCCTCTTGCCTCTCCCAACTCTCCAACCCCATTCACAGGTAACTACTGACGTACTTGCTGTCTACAGGTTAGGCAGCGTTTTCTAGAATTTTATACAAATTAAATCACACAGTTTGTACTCTTTTTGGTCTGGTTTATTTCCCTGAACATATTTATTTCGATATTCATCCATGGTGTTGCATGTATAGATAATTTATTCTGTTTATTGCTGAATACTATTCCATTGTGTGTATAACCCAGTTTTGGCTTCTTAGAAATACATTTTCTATGAAGATTTACATAAAATTTTGTATGGGCATATGCTTTCACTTATTTTGTGTAAATAACTTGGAGTGGAATGGCTAGCTCATATAGCATGAGTTCCTCAGCTTAAGTAGCCACCAAACTTCTTACAAAGTTGTTATGCCATTATACAGTTTTTTAGCAGTATATAAAAGTTCAAGTTACTTCGTATTCTTGTCAGTATTTGGTATGTTCAGTCACTTCTTTGTAAAATGCCCATTTAAATAATTTGCCCACTTAGAAAATTGAATTATTTGCTTTATTATTTTTAAGCTGTGAGAGTTCTTTATGTATATTGGATACAAGTCTGCTATCAGATATGTGATTTGCAAATATTTTTATCCTGGTCTGTGGTTTATCTCTTTATTCTCTTTTATTTATTTATTTATTTATTTTTTTGAGACAGAGTTTCACTTTGTTGCCCAGTCTAGAGTGAGTGCTGTGGCCTAGCTCACAGCAACCTCAAACTCCTGGGCTTAAGCAATCCTGCTGCCTCAGCCTCCCGAGCAGCTGGGACTACAGGCATGCGCCACCATGCCGGCTAATTTTTTGTATATATATTTTAGTTGTCAATTAATTTCTTTCTATTTTTAGTAGAGACAGGGTCTCGCTCAGGCTGGTTTCGAACTCCTAACCTCGAGCAATCCGCCCCGCCTCAGCCTCCCAGAGTGCTAGGATTACAGACGTGAGCCACCACGCCCGGCCTCTTTATTCTCTTAATAGTATGTTTCAAAACTTAATTTTGATGAAGTCTACTATATACATTTTTTTTCATGGATCCTGCTTCTAGTGTCATACCAAGAAATCTTTTTGTAATCCTAGCACTCTGGGAGGTTGAGGTGGAGGACTGCTTGAGGTCAGGAGTTTGAGACCAGCCTGAGCAGGAGTGAGACCCCACCTCTACTAAAAATATAGAAAAATTAGCCCAGCATGGTGGTGCATGCCTGTAGTCCCAGCTACTTGGGAGGCTGAGGCAGGAGGATGGCTTCAGCCCAGGAATTTGAGGTTGCTGTGAGCTAGGCTGA